TGCTGAGTGAGATTAAGTAGTTGATCATTATTATCAAATTTTTTTATTTTATCACACTATAATTTATACGAAAACTGGATTGATAATACTTTAAAAATTTTTTCAAAATTTATTTTACATGAGCTCTCTTATTATTATTTGCGTTACAATTCTTAATACACCTTTATACCACAATTTATCGTATATTTTTTAGTTGTAGATGGACACAATATCTTTATATATTCATGTGGTGCTGAGGACCGAACCCAGGGCCTCGCCTGCGCTAGGCAAGCACCTACCGCTGAGCCACAACCAGCCCATATTTTTTATTTATTTTTTTAAATATTTATTTTTTAGTTGTAATTGGACACAATGCCTTTATTTCACTTATTTATTTTTATGTGGTGCTGAGGATCGAACCCAGGGTCTCGCACGTGCGAGGTGAGCGCTCTACAGCTGAGCCCCAGCCCCAGCCCATACTTTTTAAAATTTTAAAACAATAAATAATGTTTTTTTTAAATCATGAGATTTTTTTAGCTGCTGTGGTAATGCCACTAGTGTTGGCTCTGTAGAGGAGTTCTCGAATGAAATTTTTGATTGAATTAATGAGTGTCAACCAATGGCCATCTAAAAGCCAAAGAGCCTCTATTAGTTAAGAGTGTCTTTTTTTAGCCATTTGTTGTACAAATATCAGTTGAAGAAATAATTGTTGAAACCAGGACACAGGACCCATTTGTATAGGGGATAATGTGAAATTATTTATAAATATAATTTTAATGAAATACATAAATGAAGTTATGTAGTTATAGAACAGTGTCTTGTCTTCAATTCTTCCACCTTTATCACTGCCAACCAAGATCTTGCAACCTTGTGTAAATTTCATATTTTTCTCTATGTTTATAAAATCATCCATAAACATAGGATTTATTTTTGTTATTTTATAAGGATGGATTATGTTATACACATTTAAATTTACTTTCTGTAAGACTTTATAAAAAATCCTTCCCAATTACCTGGTATAGCTCTAATTCATTTTATGTGAGTACGTAATATTCCATGATATGATGCATCATGATTTATTAAATGATTTCCCTATTGATGAATATTTACGTGTGTGTGCGCGCGCGCGCGCTGTACTGGAGATTGAACCCAGGAGTGTCTACCACGGAGATACATCCCCAGCCCTTTTAATTTTGAAATAGGGTCTTCCTAAGGTACTGAGGCTGATCTCAAATTTGTGGTCCTCCTGCCTCAGCCTTTCTAGCTACAGGCATTACAGGCATGCACTACCACACCCATCTTATTGTTTTTACTGCTACAAAGTGTGCAGTAAATAATCTTGCACAAATATGTTTAAATATTAATTTATTGCAATGAGATAGAGATTATGGATTAAAAGGTATATATATTTATTTGAATAGCTGTTATTTTCATGAAGCCTTTGATAATTCATGTTTTACCCAGCAATGTTTGAGATCTCTTTATCTTTCATAGCTTGGGTAGTATTAATATCCTTTAAAGTTTTGACCATCTTGATGAGTATAAAATGATATCTATTATTTTGTCTTTCTCCCCTTAGAAGATTGTACCTACTGCCATATGGATTTTAACCATTTTCATTTTTACTTCTGGAATTGCCTACTTATATTCTTTGCCAATTTTCCCAGTGGGTCATTTTGGTTTTCCAGACCACTTTTAAGAAGTGTACATAATCTCATCTGCTTTTAGAAAGCTGGTAACTTGAATTCATCCTTTTTACTGTCACTCTGAACTTGGCCAAACTGTGGATACAAGAAGGCCTCAAATTCTGTGGGAGTCTCAAAGAAGAGTGCTGGCAAAAAGCCTAGTGCAAGGTCTAAGAAGCTTACTTATATTAACATTTGGACCCCTCAAATGCTTTTATTTATTTTATTTATTTATTAGTTGTCGATAGACTTTTCTTTTATTTATTTATATGTGGTTGAAAATTGAACCCAGTGCCTCACACATGCTAGATAAGCATTCTACCACTGAGCTACAACTCCAGCTCCCCGGCTTTTCTACCCCAGAGTAATGTTGATATCATTTGTCCTCTAGGAAACTAAAACAGAACAGAAGAGGCAGGTTGAGTCCTCCCTACTCTTTTTTTTTTTTTTTAATTTTTTATTGTTGGTTGTTCAAAACATTACAAATTTCTTGATATAACATATTTCACACTTTGATTCAAGTGGGTTATGAACTCCCATTTTTACCCCATATACAGATTGCAGAATTACATCACTTACACATCCATTGATTTACATATTGCCATACTAGTGTCTGTTGTGTTCTGCTGCCTTTCCTATCCTCTACTATCCCCCCTCCCCTCCCCTTCCCTCCCCTCCCCTCTTCTCTCTCTACCCCCTCTACTGTCATTCATTTCTCCCCCTTGTATTATTTTTCCCTTTCCCCTCACTTCCTCTTGTATGTACTTTTGTATAACCCTGAGGGTCTCCTTCCATTTCCATGCAATTTCCCTTCTCTCTCCCTTTCCCTCCCACCTCTCATCCCTGTTTAATGTTAATCTTCTTCTCCTGCTCTTCGTCCCTACTCTGTTCTTAGTTACTCTCCTTATATCAAAGAAGACATTTGGCATTTGTTTTTTAGGGATTGGCTAGCTTCACTTAGCATAATCTGCTCTAATGCCATCCATTTCCCTGCAAATTCTATGATTTTGTCATTTTTTAATGCAGAGTAATACTCCATTGTGTATAAATGCCACATTTTTTTTATCCATTCGTCTATTGAAGGGCATCTAGGTTGGTTCCACAGTCTTGCTATTGTGAATTGTGCTGCTATGAACATCGATGTAGCGTTGTCCCTGTAGCATGCTCTTTTTAGGTTTTTAGGGAATAGACCAAGAAGGGGAATAGCTGGGTCAAATGGTGAGTCCTCCCTACTCTTGAGCAGAATTTCTTTGTGGGTCCCTGGCAGAGGACCTATTTGCTGTCAACACCTGCTCCTCAGCTGTCACAGTAGAGAAGGAGTCAACTTTACTATGCTAGGACTGCCAATACAGCATCAGTGGATAGACCGAAAAATAACTGTATATCTAAGGATTCAGTCACCAGAAAGAGATATTAACTAAAAAATGTCAGGACAGGCCCTCAGCAAAATAATGTATAAACATAAAATTCAAAGTTCAGTATAAACAGAGCAAAAGGTTAAATGAAGGAGAGTGTCCCATGGAGACTTAAATGAGCCTGGAAAATCTGATGGACAGTTTATTTTAAAATCATTAGCAAAAATTCAAAGAAAGTTTAGAGATAACAGAACAAGGATAGAACCAGGAGAACTAAGGTGTATAGTAGAGTTCTGGGGTGGGGGACAGATGGAAAGAATGATTTTAAAAAGAAGAAAATTCTTAAGCTAAAGACCTAAATTTATAGGTTTGAAGGGTTTGCTGAGTTCCAAGCAGAATTAGTGATAATAATAAATAATTACTGAGTACTGACTCTACCAGTATTCTAAAGGTTTCACATTTATTAATTCATTGACTCCTCAGAATATCCCTGAAAAATAGATACTACTATTTCCCTTACTCCAATGAAGAAAAAGGAGGTTAAGTGAAACCTAAATGTGAACCTAAGAGGTCTGACTTCAGGGCTAAGTGCCTCAAAGAACAAAGGCATGTGGTGTAAAATTTATGAAAACTGAAGAATAAAATGAAGATTTGCAAGTTCCAGGGAGAAAGAACAAGTTATAAACAAACAAACAAAGAAGACTGTTTCATCTGAGGCAGCTTAAGCTAGAAAGCTGGAAAATTTTTTTCTAGACTACTTGAGAGAAAAAGACAAGTCAGAATTTCTCTAACCAACCAAAATATTTGTTTACCAGAGTAACAATTGAACAATTAATGAAAGTACTCAAAAGATAAGAAAGGGAAACTTAATAGTATTTAATCTTTGCCTTTGCAAGTTTTTCCTCCTGCCTGGAATAACTCCTGTTGTTTAGCAGCCATTTCATCCTTAAGATCTTAATGTTTCTCCAGGGCAATCTTTTGCAATTCCCCAACTCTTGAGTTGTTTTGCTCCTCTTAAATGCTCCAGTAGCACACTGTACTTTCCCCATCTTAGCACTTAGCACAATCTCTTATAATGACCTCTTTCTTGCTTCATTTTTTCCATAAAAAATGTTAGCAGATGTGTCTTATTCACTGAGGTAGTCCCAGTACTTAGCACAGTGCCTGCAATGCAATGACTGAGTGTCTAAATAAGTGTAGTTAAGATTTGCAGATCATCTTGTTGCTGTGTTCAAATTGTTCTAGTAGGAGCTATTCAGGGAAGGTAAAGCTTTAAGTAGAATTTGTCTTCAGTAGATACATAAAGCCCTATTTGTATATATTTCTGTATTTGTGTTGTGACTTTAACAAAATTTTATATTCACAAGTTTAAGTGTAGATGACTTTGAAAATCCTTATAGAATCAATTTATATCCATTATATAAATTATCCATGTTGGGGTCTAACTTCTATTGTTATTATTAAAGAGCAAGATTAATCAATAAGTGTAGAGGTGAATTTGCAAGGTTGGTTAAAAACTGGTCAAAAAATTAGTCAACAATCCAGAAATAGTGTTTTGATACTCTAAAAACAATGCTAATCCTATGATTATCTTTGTTTCTCTTCAGATTAAAGCTAAAAATTATGACAAGGTTGAAAAGGTGAGTTCTTTTAAATACACTTGTATTTTATGCTGGAATTTATGATTGTATATATAAGACAAATATGGTAAAATATTGACAGTTTCTGAATCTAGGTAATGATTATATAGGAATTGTACTTTATTGATCTTTTTTATATGCTTAAAATATTCACCATAGAAAAATTGGAAAAGAAAAAGAATAATTTTCTTTATCTTTTTTTTTTTAATTTAGTGGTGGTGGGGAGAAAAAAAAGAAAAGTTGTATTCTACTGATCAGAAACATGAAAATGATTTAACTGTCCAAGCTGAAAACCAGAGGGAAATTTTATTTGCCTTTTATTTATGAGAAAATAAATTCTTAGCTTTTTGCAGTTTTAATATCATCTGATGAGGTTTATCCAAGGTGTACTTATTACTAATTGAAAACTTTCCCCAATATCCCACTGAGATGACTTGCAATGTAGTCAGCATTGGCAATTTTTGACAGTCTCTATGGAGACTGGAAAAGAAAAAAAAAAGGAAAGGAAGGAAGGAAGGAGAAGAAATTTCTGAAAGAAGCTGAAATTGTTTTTTTAAGTTCCATTTCATTCATGTATATGTGAAATTTATTTAACTGAATTCTGATAATAGTTTCTTGTATTTCAAGCTATTTCAGAGATGCCTTATGAAGGTTTTGCACATTGATTTATGGAAGTGTTATCTTTCATATGTCCGGGAAACCAAGGGTAAACTACCAAGTTACAAGTAAGTAAAATCAAGATCTTAAGAATGCAAGATATTTTCATTTAGTTCCACAGAAACTAACATCATGTCTTTCTTCCATTTAGAAGAGACTTAAGGATTTAAAGCCAAGATTTTTGGTAGGGGTGTAGCTCAGGGGTAGAGCACATGCCTAGAATATGTGAGATTCTGATTGAGACCTGGGTTCAGTCCCCAATACCAAAAAAATAAACTCAGGATTCTCTAAGAAATCAAGAAAAGTGCTTCAAAAGAAAGCCACTGGTATTAGTCTTACTCTAGAGAATTTAATCACAGAAGGTTTTCCATATTGAAGCACCATGTATTTACAACACCAGACCATTGTGAGAGGCTTGTCAAACGTTTAAAAAACATCTTCACACTTGCTCTGGTACCTCTCAATGCAATGTGCCACTTGATCCAAGGCCAAGGATTGTGTAGTTTAATTCCCCATTATGACTTAACATCACCTACCTACCCATCTTTGCTTAATCTAAATAGTGGACCTTCTTGGATATTATTTTTGTATATAACAAATTATTTCTATGACTAGAATTATATCTTGATTATCTTTTCCTGAGTTCTTTCTCCTTAAATTTTACTTTCAAGCTAATAAATCTTTAGATATAAATTACCTCCTTAATGAGAAATCTCATTATTTTCACACTTTAATCTGCTATGTAAAAATTAGGCAATTTAAAGGATATAAAGATAAATAAGACATGGGCCTTCTCTTTGATAGCCACAAGCAGTAGACAAAGGAAATAGTTCATAAATTAATAAAAATGACAAGCTTAAAATAATTATGTACTTACAATGATGTCCTTAATTTTTGTTTATAGAAAAGATTCAAGTGCTATTCTTATATGTCCAGAAGTTAGGTTTTAAATGTAGACATATTTTGATAACACATTAAAAAAAAAAAAAAAAAAAACATGTCTTTCACATTCATTGCAGAGAAAAAATGGCTCAAGCTTATGACTTTGCACTGGATAAAATTGGAATGGAAATTATGTCCTATCAGGTAAATTTAAAATTTTTAAATATATCACTTAAATTCTATACCCTTAAATATATATACTTAAAGTATCAAGAAAGATACTAACATTTTGTTTTATTTCTTAGATTTGGGTAGATTACATCAATTTTTTAAAAGGCGTGTAAGTATAGTTTTATACTTTATATTTACATTTTTACATAAACAATTGATTTAACTGTAATAATAATGATGACATTTCTTATTCAATCTCAGGGAAGCAGTTGGATCTTATGCAGAAAATCAGAGAATAACAGCTGTCCGAAGAGTTTATCAACGAGGTTGTGTTAATCCAATGATCAATATTGAACAACTCTGGAGAGACTATAATAAGTACGAAGAGGTAAATTAAGCCAGAGTAGTTTATTGCTATAAGCTAAGCCATTTTAATTTTTTGCGGGGTAAGGGGTCCTGGGGATTGAACTTGGGGATGCTCAACCACTGAACCACCTCCCCAGCCCTATTTTGTATTTTATTTAGAGACAGGGTCTCACTGAGTTGCTAAGTGCCTTGCCATTTCTGAGGCTGGCTTTGAAATTTGGGATCCTGGGCTGGGGATATAGCTCAGTTGGTAGAGTGTTTGCCTTGCATGTACAAGGCCCTGGGTTCAATCCCCAGCACCAAAAAAAAAAAAAAACCTAGCAATCCTCCTGCTCAGCCTCTTGAACTGCTGGCCACTGTACCCATCCAGTTTAATTTTTAAGCATCCTGGATTTGTGAATTCTAGCCTTTTTCATATCAGATAACTGGATATCAGTGTTGCACATTGTATAGGTTTTTTTTTTTAATATTTATTTTTTAGTTTTTCGGCGGACACAACATCTTTGTTTGTATGTGGTGCTGAGGATCGAACCCAGGCCGCACGCATGCCAGGCGAGCGCGCTACCACTTGAGCCACATCCCCAGCCCTTGTATAGGTTTTTGCTTTGTTTTTTATTTTTTGGTACTGGGATTGAATCTAGGGGTACTTTTTCAATATTGAGCTACATCTCCAGTCCTTTTTATTTTTTCTCTTGGCAATAGAGATTGAACCCAAAGGCCCTCTGCCACTGAGTTATGCCCTTTTTTTGTTTTTGTTTTTGCTTTTTTTAATTTTATTTTTTGGTATTGGGGATTGAACCCAGGGTGCTTAACATCTGAGCCATGTCCCCAGCCCTTTTTATTTTTAATTTTGAGACAGGGTCTTGCTAAATTGTGTAGGGCCTCACTAAGTTGCTAAGGCTGGCTACCTCAGCCTCCTGAGCTGCTGGGATTAGAGGCATGAGCCACCATACCTAGCCCTTTTTATTTTGAGACAGAGTCTTGCTAAGCTAAGGTTGGCTTTAAACTTGCAGTTCTTCTGCCTCAGTACTCCAAGTCACTGGGATTACAGGTGTGCACAACCATGTCTGGCTGTTTTGTTTGGTTTTGTTTAGTTTTGATGGTGGGGATCAAACTCAGGGCAACTACTCCAGGAAAAATATAATTTTTGTAATGCTCTTTGTGGCAGAGATGCTGGGATTGATCCCAGGGCCCCTTACATGGTAGATAAGCACTTCATCACTTAGATATATTCCCAGCCCATTTTTATTTAATGCTAACTCATATCTAAATATTCATATATACACATACTGTGCTTGGCCTTCTGTGAAAGGATATGTTTTTGGAATTATTTTTCCTGTAGTAATGATCAGTTGCTATGCATCTCTTTCACTTAATTCCAGTGAAGTGATTAATTATTGGTTTTAGTTTGTTAGATGTGTGGCTATATCCACCAAAAATAACAATAATATGTTTTTGGTGTTTTTTTTTAGGGTATCAATATTCACTTAGCTAAAAAAATGATTGAAGATCGGAGTAGAGATTACATGAACGCTAGGCGTGTAGCAAAGGTATGAAATTCCATCAAGCCATTTATTTATTTATTTATTTTGAGTATTAGACCATTTAATTCTCAAACCTTCATATACATAATATCTTTTACATAGTGTTAAAATAAAGAGGAAAATACATTTTCATACAAACAGAATTTTAAGTATACATTGATAGACTTTTCAGATTATTAACCAAGTTGCTAAAATTTGATTTACATTGTTCTTAAAGATGTTCAACGATAAAAAATATGGAATGCTTCATGAATTTGAGTACCATTCTTGTTTAGGGGCTGTGTTAATCTTCTCTGTGTTGTTCCAATTTTAGTATATGTGCTGCTGAAGTGAGCACAGCGTTTATTTTAATAATTATCAAGGCTGTCGTTTATAACAAGGCCTTTCCTGTCTGGTGTTTGTTACTCTTGATATTTCAGTCATTAGCAATCTTAACTAATGTAAATAAATCTCAGTTGACTTCATCACATCTGTCTGAAGAGATGATATATTTGAAATGAAATATTTCTTTGCAGACATGTTAAGGACAAAATAGAACAAATTGGATTTAGAAGAAATTATTATTTAGAGAAGGTTAAAACAAGATTCTATCTAGAACTAATACAGTGGTTCATATTCTTCCTTGTGCTTGGTCTTCTGTGAAAGGATACATTTTTATATTCGCTTATATTTGCTCATCAGAAAACTGTACTATTCTGCATTCAGAGTATACTTATTAAATAACATAGCTCTCAGGGACAAATCTTATAGTGTGCATGTCTTTCCATTCAATAGTATTCTTAGAAGTTAGGAAGAGTAGCCAGTAAGTAATTTAAAAAGATAGCTTCTCCAAAGATGGCAGTAATCCACCAGATCTTCAGTCATGTTATTGGTCAACTAGGATATCCTAGGGAGCAACCTTCGTAGATTACCTCCAGAAAGGGCCCCTGGGTGGTCTATTCACCCACTCCTGGGAATCTATTTATGCATGGGTAATACTCAAAACTGATCATCTCCATCCTCTATATCTGAGTGGTTCCAGTATCACCAAAGAATTTTAAATGCTTCTTGTTTAGGAATATGAGACAGTAATGAAAGGCTTGGACCGCAATGCTCCTTCAGTGCCTCCACAGAATACTCCTCAAGAAGCTCAGCAGGTAGATATGTGGAAGAAATATATACAGTGGGAAAAGAGCAACCCTCTTCGTACAGAGGATCAGACCCTTATAACAAAAAGAGGTAAGAAGATTAACCCTCCTGGGACTCAAACTACATGCCTGTTAGGCCACTTGATATTATCCCACAGATTAGTGAGGCTGTTTTTTGTTTTAATTTTTATTATTGGTTGTTCAAAACATTACATAGTTCTTGACATCATATTTCACACATTTGATTCAAGT